TACTATAGGCTGTTTAGGGGAGGAACCAAAGGCAGGGAAAGGGAGGGATCTAGATGACTCGTGGAGGAACAAACGTGGGAAAACGGAGGGATAAAAGGTTGCTCATACATAAACAGGGGCTGGTCTATGCTCTTGTACTGTCTGATCTGCAGTTTGTCCTGTCATCTTAGGAAATTCCACTTTGATTCCTTCTGGGCAGGAAAACCTTTTTTCCTACTGGGAACACATGCTCAGCCCCACCACGGGTCAGACCTGGGGCAGGGAGCCGCAGCAGCCTTGCCTCTGCCGGATCTGGCCTAATGCCATAACACAGATTTATTTTCCGTTACAGCTGCAAGATACTAATTCCTTATATATCCCAAAAACAGACCAAAGATAACAGGGTAATGGAAAACCTTTCCACTAAGGATGGGTTTTATATATGGGTTTTACTTCCTCCTTCTGTCCGAGGTTGTGTCGCTCACCAGTTCCTTCAACATAAGTCTTGAAAAATAACTATTTAGGCTCTTATTTCAGAAACTATCTCTAAAAAAAAAAAAAATTTTAAGCCCCGATTCCCCTCCTCCCCTTCAACTTGCAGAGTTTCTGTCTTAAAAAGCACAAACCATAGCAGGTATAGGTCAGGCAGAACTTCAATAGGTATTTTAACCTGCTTCTCCAGGTATTAGCAATGAATTCAAGTTTCAAATAAGATGCTGTATATGAGTTATGCTTACCTAGCTTACAAGTCTTTAAAAAACATTTTGGTTTATGAACTAATCATGACTTTTTCACAGCTAAGGCAATTTTCCCCAAAGCCAACCATCCCCATACAGTAAGTCATTAATATAGTTACTCCAATGCCTTTAAATAAATAAATACAAATTCACCTCCAAGGTGGAGGGGCAGCATTTGCAGGGAGCACCAAGCTAACAACTTGCCATTTTACTGTCTGTCTTGTTACTGCTTCTGACAGCAGAGAGAGAAACTGTGTTTCACCCCCATATAGCACCATTAAAAATTAAAGGGTGACAAGAGGAAAAAACCGTACATTTACACCAAAGAAAAAGTTGTAATAGCAACATTTGCCAGCAGGTTACTCTGTGAACAGCATGCCATAAGTATAAAACTTCTGTTAAAAATGAGCAACATCCAGCTAAGTCAACCAGTTTGCTGTTTATGACATGTCCTCCCCAGTCACACTATGGATTACTTTAATTAGTGTCACTTTTGCACAACAGGAAGCCACAAAGCATCACAAAATAAATGCAAGAAACAGAAGTTTCAACTTACTGTGGAGTTTGTGCAATTTGCTTTTCCGCAGGCAAAACAGAAATTAAACTGGTAAGATTTGCACACTTGAGGGAGGATGATTCCAAGCTTAGGCTTTTGTCTATTATTACTATGAAGTTGTATAACCTGTGGATTCATGTCTTTCTCCGAAATATTCACAAAAAAATCATTTTGAAGAGGATATTCAAAACCAATTCAACTAAAGCCATTTCAAATTCTACCCATACTGAGAAAAATACTTCAGAAGGTCCGTGTTTCTCTGGCCAATTTTGAAAACGAAACATTTAATTTGAGTTAACATTAAACAGGAGATTAAGTTTGAAAGCCTCTACAGATGTCTTTTGGGAACGTATTGAATGGCTGATCGCACCACAAACTTCTCCTCCTCCAAATGAAATGAGACAACCTGTTTAAATGCTTTAGGAGTTGCTACCTGATGAATACGTACCTGTATACCTGAAAGCCCAGTAGATCCCTATGAAACAGGGTTTGTTTTCTCAGCCTGGTTTCTTGCAGCTCTATCTCTGTGAGCATCAGGTATTTCTAACACACGCAGATATTGCCAGGTATTTTCCTACATACCCTTGATCCAGTATCTGGGTTGTACTGGGTAGGCAGCGTAACATAGTATCACATCAGAGGGGTTCAAGTTGAAAGCAATTTAACTTCTCCCCCAGCAAGGAAGAGTGTTTTCTGTATGGCTGTAGACGGCTGGGGCCTTCCCTTCCCTACAGTAAGTAAGCTGAGCAAAAACCCAACAGGCTTTTTTTACCCAACCACACTGGTAAGCTCAGGGTCCACAGCATGTGAAGGAAGCTGGTGAGGGGTCTAGAGCACTAGCCTTATGAGGAGCGGCTGAGAGAACTGGGGTTGTTTAGCCTGGAGAAAAGGAGGCTGAGGGGAGACCTTATTGTGCTCTACAACTACCTGAAAGGAGGTTGCAGCGAGGTGGGTGTTGGTCTCTTCTCCCAAGTAACAAGCAATAGGATGAGAGGAAATGGCCTCACGTTGCATGAGGGGAGTCTTAGATTGGATATTAGGAAAAATTTCTTCACTTGAAAGGGTTGCCAAGCATTGGAACAGGCTGCAAGCAGTTGAGTCACCATCCCTGGGAGTATTTAAAAGACGTGTAGACGTGGTGCTTAGGGACATGGCTTAGTGGTGGACTTGGCAGTGCTCGGTTAACAGTTGGCACTTGATGATCTTAAAGGTCTTTTCCAACCTAAGTGATTCTATGAGTCTATGTTTGCTATTAGTAAATTAATTTTGCAACCAAAAGCCAGCATATTTCTTCAAATAAAGATTCTGTAAATTTTTTAATCATCTATGAAATTGGGGAGGGGAAAGCAATTCTTCCACTTGCCCTCCCCCAAAATATGTCATGATGGGTGGACTGTTGGGTGGATGAGGAATTGGTTGGATGGTCGCACCCAGAGGGTAGCAGTCAACGGCTCAATGTCCAGTTGGAGATCAGTGATAAGTGGTGTCCCTAAGGGCTCCGTATTGGGACCAGTGCTCTTTAGTATCTTCATCAATGACATAGAGAGTGGGATCGAGTGCACCCTTAGCAAGTTTGCAGATGACGCCAAGCCGAGTGGTGCAGTTAACACGCCTGAGGGACAGGATGCCATCCAGAGGGACCTGGACAAGCTTGAGGAATAGGCCGCTGTGAATCTCATGAGGTTTAACAAGGCCAAGCGCAGGGTCCTGCACCTGGGTCAAGGCAACCTCCAGTATCACTACAGGCTGGGGGATGAAGGGATGGAGAGCAGCCCTGCCAAGGAGGACTTGTGGACACTGGTGGATGAAAAGCAGGACATGAGCCAGCAATGTGCACTTGCAGCCCAGAAGGTCAACTGCATCCTGGGCTGCATCCAAAGCAGCATGGCCAGCAGGTCGAGGGAGGGGATTCTGCCCCTCTGCTCTGATGAGACCCCACCTGCAGTGCTGCATCCAGCTCTGGAGCCCTCAGCACAGGAGAGACATGGACCTCTTGGAACATGTCCAGAGGAGGGCCACAAAGATGATCAGAGAGATGGAACACCTCTCCTATGGGGACAGGCTGAGCAACTTGGGGTTGTTCAGCCTGGAGGAGAGAAGGCTCTGGGGAGACATTATTGCAGCCTTCCAGTACTGAAAGGGGGCTTAGGAGAGAGAGAGGGATAGACTTTTTAGCAGGGCCAGTACCAATAGGACAAGGGGTAATGGTTTTAAAATAAAGAGGGCAGATTTAGACTAGAAATAATGAAGAATTTTTTCACCATGAGGGTGGTGAAACCCTGGCCCAGGTTGCCCAGAGAGGTGGTAGATGCCCCATCCCTGGAAATATTCCAGGTCAGGCTGGACAGGGCTCTGAGCAACCTGCTCTAGTTGAAGATGTCCCTGCTTATGGAAGTGGGGGGTGGACTAGATGGTTTTTAAAGGTCCCTTCCAACCGAAAGATTTTATGATTCTGTGATTGTAGATGCTGTCAGCCCCACTCACAGTTTCTCTTGGCAGTCTGCATTGCCTGAGCGTAAACTCAGAGAAGTGCACTGGTGTGTGTGTTAGCTGACAGATGGATCTCAATCTGCCAGCTCCTCACTGTGAGGAGGTAGTACCACTCCATATGCTTCAATTCAGAGTGTTATACCCGCACTAGCAAGAATTCACCATATTTAATATTAATTAACTAATAATGTTCAGAA